GATGCTCTCGAACAATATAAGATACGCTTTTTGATGAACGACCTACACGCAAGATGTGAGTTCAACACACAAATGGACATGGAATTAGATAACTGAGCCAGCATTTCCTTAGCATTATCGCGCATTAGTAGACAACTTCGGTAGATTATGTATGTAGTTACATCAAAAAACTTTTTTCACTGACTTTATCAAACTGTATTTAAGGACTTCACTGACAATGTCCTTCCTAAATTCTAAATCTAAGTACCGCTCTTCCTTTACTTACTTTTCGCAATCTGAGGTCCTTTCACTCAGCTTACTTTCGGCATCTATAAACTGTAGTGGGTATCGATTATGTACAAAATTTTGCTTCCGTTGTCTAAGTTCTTCTTCAACACTGACTTCACTACGAATTCCGCGGACACGCGGTAAGACAGGATAAATTGAATTTCCTTTTCTATCAATGAGAAAATATTTGTGGAAATTAGTCCAGTTCACGTAGACTTTCTGTACATCTATCCTTTGTCTGGCTTCAACACTTACGTTCAGTGTCAAATTGTAACACATTTGTTATTGTCTATTAAAACTTACTGATAAACACAACTGTATAATTATGAAAATGAAATCGTCTGAAACGTAGTTTTCTTCGCTGAAATCTTTGTTCTATATATCTCAGTAACATTATCATCATTAATAATCATGCTTTCCCAAAAACAACTTATTTGAAATAGTTCAGTTAAAATGCCGGCAATGAAAAGTTGGGCACATCAGTGAATCACCTTGCAATCTTTAAAGTGGTAATTTAAATAAGAAATTCCTTAAAAGAAGGTTATGCAAGTTCAAGGAAATTACTAATACAAGCCAGAAATTATTCATCAAATTTTTTTTTATTCCTTCACGTTCCCAGTGGAACGTAGAGCTTCAAGCTAGAGACCTGAACTTTCAGTAGCAGTGTTTATTTTTACAGGATGCGGTTGCTAGCCTCATGCCCAACCTTTCCTTTTTACCAGCTTTATTACTGGCTTAGCGAGGTAAAGGAGTACGCCGGCCGGGGACGGAACCCCAGACCATGTGTTTGGTCGGCGAGCGTCGTAACCGCTCTGCTACGTTGGCGACTATACCACGTTGAAAGCACCGGTTCTCAGTAAATTCTGCTTCTGCAAAAATAAGAACAAGAACTCTAAGAATATGCCTCTAGGATTTCGGCTTATATAGGTTTATTTCATAGCTTGCAGACTAAGGATCCGTAATTCGTCAAGTTGGTGCGGCACTATATTTATGACGCTCAAGTAGATAATTAAACAGGTCCTGAGGTTGGTTAATATATACGCATCTGAGAAGATATCTGTTTAATACGTTATGTTTTTTATCCAGAACAATTGCATTCGTATTAACTTTTTGGGTTTTTTCATTTAATGTGGTCTATTAGCTTTGAAGCAATCTCAGTGAAATATTTATAGGTTAGTAATGGTATTTGAATCAAGATGTTTACTAAAAAGGTAGTGTGTAATGATTACAGTTGAAATCTTAGTGGCTCGAGGACTCAAGCCTTCGGTTTTTGCATCATCAGTTTGGCAATCTACCAGCTGAAAGACGAAATCCAGATAGGCCATTATTTGACTACGATCACCACATGTAATGTACAGTTGTCATGGAAAATGAATGATGAGTTATTGTATATATATCATCACACTAAATGCCCATTGGGGTCTTCTCCTTTCAGTCCCAATCATACTGAATCAGAAGGCGACCAATAGGTCGTTAACTGATGATGAGACTGTTTAAGATACTCTTGGACTTGGTTCGAATCCTACCATGATCAATATTCTCATTTTACCTTTCAGAATCACTTGCTATATCAATAATAGCCTGTCACCCCGGGACCATTTCAATAGTCCTTCATTCAGTATTCATTAACGTTGGTTTGATTTTTCATATTTAAAGGGGTTTCAGTCTCCAAATGAAATCTCAGACGAAAGTAACTCGAAATTCAGACATATGAATTCTGATAGTATTGGTACAGTGTTTATTAATTTAAATGATACTTAGTGAAACAGTTTCGATGTGACATCTAATCTAGTGGACATAAGTATGAGTCACTAAAGCAAACATAGTTATTCTTAGAACTTGATGGAGAGAAGGCAGAAGTCAATAAATGGTGAAATAAGATAATGGTTCCATGTCCATACGAATGACAACAAACACAATGCATTGTAATCCTCAGTTTCTTAGAATAATAAATACATTGGTCATATGACTGATTAATTACAACATGTTAGCTATTATTCAACGGCTTTTGACAAACCTTTAATATTTTGTCATAGGGAAAAAAGTGAATGACTTTCTGTTCAGTAGCTATTATCCATCTACCATATGCCAATCGCTTAACAGGTTAAGTCTGTTTGATACTCCAGAATTTATTGCTATCATCTTTATTATTCAGCTGGTTAGAGTGCTCGCCTCATAATCTGAATGTTATAGGGATCATTGTCGAAGAGTCTTTCTTAAACTGCGACAGCTTTCCAGTCATCCTCGTTTTTCAATTATTCACCAAGCAGTGTCAGTCCATGACGAAATACATACTGAGATTAATTCCAATCCCCATGAATCTCAAAATTTGATTATTTCTGTTTAGAAATAAGCTGAAACAGGCTATTCCCATGTCCATTCTTAAAGCTGAAAAAATCTTCAGAAGTCTTATTTATTAATTATTATTATTTGTGTATGTCAATTTCATATTTACTAAGGAAAGACATTGTTTACTACTTACACACCAGTGACTACAAAATAACGACTTTCGAAAACACTCTAAGCCTCATGTATTTCGCTGATGTAAGCACATAATCCTTAACTCGGTAAACAACAAGTCAAAGATATGAAGACAAAGTTAGGCAGTTAAGTCATGTGAATATATTTTTATGATATCAATGAAAATATTGTCAGAATTAATAATTTTTATTTAGGAAGAGTAAGAACAGTGTCCGTGTTATCTTTTAATGGCTTCTAATTCATTTTGATTGAAACTGAATATAAGCTTAGGCCAATGTAAAAAGTCTCCTTAGAATGCAGAACTTTCATCATAAGAAAAATTGAAATCAAATGCAGTAGGATATATCTTGTAAAAAGAAGTTAGCATCATTTGAACAACCATTCCAAAAAAAATTACACCTTATTAGATTAGTCTTTCTGTTAATCTTCAATCTCTCATCTCCTACTACACTGAGCTAAATTTTGATAAGCATATTATTTAAAATCCAACCTTTGATGTACACTTTAAGAGGATTTAAGTTGGGTGTTAAAAGTAGATTTTTTAATAAGTCTTGTGATAATGACTTCTAGACAAAAGGAATAGATTTCCTGAATATATAATTATTCAATCGATAGTACATTTTCTCTGGCTATACTTTTTAATTACTCACACTGAACTCTTTCTCTGATTGAGCGAAACATATTGCTAACTCTGTCACAGCCAATTTTAGTCAGCTATGCATATTGTATCTCTCATTTCACAGTGTTATTTAAATCGGCTGATGGAGAGGCGTTTATCAAGAAATCATGCCTTAAGTGTGACAGTTTCGTTATCTTTGGCTCCTTTCCCACACAGAGTTTGTAAGGAAATATTTTCCAAAGTGTGCAAACTATCTTAAACAACAGTTTTAGTTTCCAGATCACAGAACATTTTAAGTGTATTGTTTATATATTATTTATAAGTGAATTTATAAGTCAGTTATTCTTCTAGGATTTAACAATCTTCTTTCTCTTTTGGAATGGTTGCAGCCATTTTTTCTTCAACATTTTCCTTAGCATATGTATGATTAAAATATACCTAACTACAGATGCTAAATAATACCAATTCTTTGAATTAAATTGTAGAAAGTTGTCCATACGGACCTAGATGTTTACTTTACAAAGGATTGTATTTATCATACATAAGGTGACAAGTAGAAACAGTGGGATTGAGGTTATTTGTAACAAGAGAAACAGAGGAAATGTTCTTATATATATATGCTTAAATAAGTAAAGAAAATCAAGTGGAAAGAGCCAAGGTAATATACCAGCACAAGAAGAATCCATATAATACTTACACACTGAACTCGTGATGAAACACTGGAAGTTTACTGTGTACTGGATTTGCTTGATTAAATAAACCATTCTTCCAATTTTCCAAAGTTATTTTTATTAGTTGACGCAGATTACTTGAGATAAAATCATGAAAATGTGGAGACAGATATCTGATGGTTTCTGTAGTGATTAAAGCTAGTTCCTCAAGCCGTGGGGACGTAAAAAAATAAAGATAACATTGATGGTGTCGAATCGCTGTGCAAAATCTGGTGAGGGGGCATAAAATATAGCCAGTAGGGAGCATATGTTAGATTATTTTCAAATCATAAAGTAGACTGTTGGTAGATATCAAGTGGATTAGCCTCACAGCTAATTTATACTTTCTGCTATTTAATTAAGGTATCAGAGAATCACTGTCTGTCAGGAATATATTGAGCTAAATTTTCACCATTAACTTATAATTAATGCAGCATAGAAAACAGTTAGTGACAAGTGAATGAAGATGTGAAAAAAATAAAGTGAAGTTCTGTCGTTTGAACTGAGATACTGGAAGTAAAATATAAATGACGTTCATAAACTTGTATTTGTACTCCGAATAAGCAATAACCGATTTCAACAAATGTGCTGTTCATGCATTAAAAGGACACAGGTGAAGAGAAGAGAATGAAACCACTTTAAGGAAGATGAAAAATTTCTTATACCTTTTCGTTTAAATTAGTAGTCGTGAGTGTAATGTACAGGTGGTCTGTGTGACTAAGTCAATAAAATATATTTGCAGGATACAAGGGTGAAAGCTCTTCTAACAGACAAGTGGTAACCTAAAATACTAATTATAGAATAGGCGGAGTTTTCAAACTTACTGGAAAATTTGTAGGGTATGCCAATCAAGACTACAGTATCAAATGAATTGTAATCGAAAATAAATACCAACTACAGCACAAATAATTAGCTTAACTCACTTTTTCTCTGTAAAGCCTTTTTGATGTATCGAATGACTGGATGAGTGCTGCTGCATGACCAACAAACAACGCATAACATGTCGCACCACTCATCATACTGACTATTGTGATCCAGGCTTCACCAATACTTGTAGGAGGAAAGCGACCATATCCAATTGAAAGCATATGTGACATGGCTTTGAATAATGCCCAAGTATACTGCTGGAACCAGTCTGCATTCTTTGTGGTAAAATAAAACAACATTAATTAAATTTTAACTTCCTGTCATTTGCAGGGTCAGAAAAGAAGTAAATGAATAACTAGAATTCTATTTAAAGATAGTTCTTAACAAGTAATAAGTTTTTCTCCTGTTTTGATATAACAATAGAACTTGTGCACTGTGGCGGAGTATAATTCATATCAGGCGCCTTGATATGACTATGAGCAATAAATTGTTCTCGAAACTTCATCAGTAAATTTAACTGCGTAACATTGTCATTAATAAACAAGCTAAGTTAGTCAAGTCCACAGCATAACACACTGAAATAACTTTCAGACAAGCTACTAAATGGGTGTTAATCTGTTCGAAAGTGTAAACAAGTAAAAAAACAAAAATATTCACAGGATAACTGTATAGCATACACTGATTGCTCACTATTTGTCTAGTTCATAGTGTAGGTGCTGCCACTCTGGTGTTCAAACAGTGATTCGGTTACAGTCAAGGGAAAGTCAGTCCTCAGCCCTAGTGGCCCTCTGATAACGTCTTTGATTGCAGCAGTGGATGACCCGGGGTTCAAATATCCAAGAAGGTATCACTTTCCTTGAGGTTTCCAACGACTGACAACTGCCTCAGGACCTAAATCCTGGTCTGCTTGTCGATTCAATCCAACTACCCAAACATTAAATATTTATCATAAAACCACTTCATACCCGCTTTTGGTGAATAATGACTATCGATGTATGTGTGCTTTTGCAGTAAAATCAGTCCCTAAAGGTGATGCAGTGAATAGCAAATCAGTTAAACATATTTAAATAGAGTAAAGAAAATGAGTAGTATAAAATCATGCACACAAAGAAGAGTGTAGTTTTTAGCTATTTTAAAAAAAATTTTCCACATACTTTCTTTTGTTGAAAATTGTAATCTGACTTTAGTTGACAAATGAATATAGAAGATGATATGGTGCTTTGTTCAAATTTTGTTTAATTTACTCAGACCTTTTGATTCGGCTACCAGTAAACCAGTAGTCTAATATTCTAAGGCGTAACAAGTGTATTAATGCTTGTGGATTCTTATATTGTCACTATTCCATAAAGTTCCGAGTTGAATATGGTACTTCAATAGCACAGTACATATCCACTTCAGCCAGGTTTCAAGGGTGAGTTTAGTCAGTGGTTTGAAATACAGTAAAGATACTACACAGAAATGAACCAATAAATGGGATCGACTTGACGTAACTTTAAGGGTGATAAATAGCAGTGATACTGGTGAAATAATAACGAAGATGTGGTGTAAACGTAAAGGTCTTATTAGTGGACGATTATCAGGTAATAATGAATTTGATGAATTGGAATGAACAGAATCGTGGAATACGTAAACCTAGGGTGATAGACACAGTAAGAAAGATCATGAAGTCGTAAAATGTCTGAAATAAACGTTTTTCACTGAGACAAAGGAAGAAAGAAGAGAAGAGGAAAAACCGGATAAATATGTAAAGTACAAATGTTTATGGAGGATTTGTTGACTAAGGTAAGCAAAGCGGTTGAAAATACTTCTTTGATATTGATTACTACCGCTTCAGCTACTGGTAAAAGACGTAGCAGGGCACTTTCAGATTGACTTCCAGGAACACGGCAGATGACCAAGAATGCCTGCTGTGGCTTTATTGAATACCCAGTAACCACATAGTGGACTACGATCGCACTATTCACGCATTTGGTTTCCCCTTTTACACAGGCATAATTAGTAGGATTAGTAAGCAAAATACTATTACATAACATGGTGCGAAGTTTCCTAAGATGAATGCTATTACTTCAGAAATCAGATCAAATTGGAATAATAGATAGGACAACTGGAATAATACCGGAAAGTGTTTAGAGAGTGGAAACAAAATTAATAGCAATTGTAATCATAATACAGATTAAATAAACAAGACGAAACACAAATAAATCTTTATCCCTCCGCATGCCTCTTTTGTACACAAAGGTCTGGCTTGCATTCATAAATGGCCAAGTCCTCCATTGTCTTTAGAAGTTTGAAATGAAGAAAACATGGCGATTTAGCATGATTTCGATAAATGATATTAAAATTATCGTTAGGGTTGGTTCAGCGACAGATTTCGTTCAAGTGCTGTAGAACGGAATTTCCCAGTCCATTTCTTTCTTTTTAAAACTATGTTGGCATGTGTTGTTTTATCCGTATATTTCCACCTTTTGTTTAAATTCCCTTTGTCAAAAATCACATTAGTACACGGCTATACAGAGTAATAATCCATTCTCAAAGGTTGGTTTGTAGGGATTTGATTTGTTTTTCGAGTTTGACCACTTACTGATATCAGTTAGAGAACCACTGAAAACTAGGGAGTACTGGATAGCTGTTTCGTCCTAGATTATGAGTCATCATCAGTGGTTAAACTCGAAAAACAAATCATATCCCTTCAAATCAACTCTTGAAAATTAATCTGATACTCGTTAGTGATTTGCTGTAGGACGGAGTTTCCTAAGGTTCTTGTGAGAAGTCGTGACTAGTGAGGTCCTTCCAGTCGGGAGTGAAAATGAAGTTTTCGCTGATGACAGTGGCTGGTGGCCGCGATAAAATCACGAATTTGAAGAAGTTAGAATTCATGAGGTATTGAATCCGGTCCCAGTGGCTGAATGGTATACGAGCTTGCCTTGTAACCGGGAGATCCTAAGTTCGAAACCCAGTGGGTGTGTACTGTCGATGACTCCCAAATTAGAATGAAACATCTGTGCAGTACTCCGTGGTTTTCAATGGTCCTCTAACTGATATGAATCCATGGTCAAACTCAAAGAATAATAAATTCGTTGAATGGGGTCTGTCCGCTGAATATTTTGTTGTTGATGTTACAATGGGAAATATCAAACGTTTATTTCTCATAAAAGACACAGATATTAGAACCTGTATTCTTATATTTTAGGAGCACTTCGGAAAATAATATTTTCCGTCTCTAAAATAACAGCTAGCAGTCTTTTGCCTTTAAAAAATATAATATGAGAAGCATATTTTCTTACTTACTTCTAATTTACAACGTTTCACCCAAGAATCTGGCGGAAATTCCATTAACATGGGGATTAAATATTGTAGACAAGCATTCCAGTGTCCAAGTAATAACATTAGTAAAACTAAATTGAATATACCCATAAATTTGCTAGCTATATTTAAAAACTAGACAATAAAGAAAATAAAAATGAAAGAACAAAAACAATAATGGAAATGAATTCACAAAATTTATTCAAATATAAATGAATATTATTATTATATGATAAGTTTCTCATGTATTGCATGCAATACTTGATGAACTTTGTATTTATACCTGTTTTAGTTGACACACATCATCCTGGAAAGAATAAAAGATGCACTGGGGGCAGAACTCCTCCTGCATTTCTTCTGCTTTCTTCTCTTGCTTTGCGTGCTACATAGATTGTGGCGACTTGAACTGCCGCACATATGTGCAAAGTTCTATGTCGAAAACCGACCGACCGACCGACCGAGAACTCCTCCTAGAACAAGTTGGATTCAGGAAGGCAAATCATGTACTAATCAAATTACTATCCTACGCATCATCATCACCACAGAACAAAACATGAAATTGCGGTCAAATCTCACTCCATATCAAATTCATCGACTTCGAAAGACCTTTGACAACCAGCGTTGATCGAGAAGTGATTTGGAGACTATTTCAATACTATGGTTTCCAGTGTTTGAATCTTTATCAAACTCATTCAACAGCTGGCTGTGTGACAATGCCACTTGCCAGGTGATCCAAAACGGAAAACTCAGTGAGGCGTTTGAAGTAAATACAGGAGTAAGAAAAGGAAGATTGCCTATTATCACCGATGATATTACTAATTGCGGTGGACTGCATTCAGACTGTGGGGAGCGCGAAGGCAGGAATACACAGGACAACCGACAAGAAGACTCTAGAAGATCTGGATTTTGCGTGTGGATGATTTGCGTCTAATGTCGCACAAACTTGAAGAATTGCAGGCGAAGAACAGCAAACTGACTGAAGAGGCTGGCAATGAAGACAGTACTGCAGGTGAACATAGGGAAGACAGAGTTGAGGAAGATAACTAACGAACCGCAGCAACATCAAGAACCAGCACTATTCACCATCAACGGGAGAGGCTACCCCCTTCACTTATCTAGGCAGCCAGCATCGTTTCAACTACAAGCAATTGGAACGGATGAAGATGTTAAAGTCAACCAGAATCGGAAAGGCAAGATACACCTTTATCAACCTGAAACCCGTTTTGAAATCTTCTGCACTCAAACAGCATAAAGAACAAGATTTGGATTTTCAACACAAATGTGAAGTCACTTCTTCTATACGGGTCAGAAACATGGCCAGCGTGTAACGAAAAGGATTTCCAACAGGTCGCAGACTTTTATCAACAGCTGCCTTTGCTCCATATTGAAGAACAAATGGCTGATGACAAAGAATTAGCAACAAGAAACTCTGGCTGGGAACAAACCAACGAAGAGACGATTGCTCAGCAAATATGTAGGGGAAAATGCAGATGGATTGGGCATACTTTGAAGATGCCGTCAAATGACATCGCGCTCAATGCAGGTCATCGCTCGAGTGGAATCCACATGGAAAGCGACGAGTGGGTCATCGGTGATAGGGTGACATGGAGGAGATCATGTGGCGAGGAGGAGATGAGACCTTATGGACCTAGCTGAAGAGGACAGCAGAAAATAGAACAAAGTGGAGATGTGTTGCTGAAGTCTTACGTTCCACTAGGAACTCAAGGGAATAATAACAATATGATGATAATACTAGTTCACTTTTAGATTGACAAGGTAATAAGATTTAGAGATATGTTCTCCTAAAATTTTCATTACTCTGAATTCAAAATTCTGTTATGACAACTTTATCTAATCACTACGTTACCTAAATTTCTCTCCAACATGATTCATTAAATTTATTCCATTTCTTATTGTTTTAATTATCTATTTACGTTCTTATATTGTGGCATGTACTCACGCATATTTTCAAACAGCTTTCAATCTACTAGGGTGAATCTCTCAAATACAACGTATAATACGGCGAGTGATCTTACTTCATGTAATACAGTATCTATTCCTATTTTATATGCAGAACATTTGTGTGGAGAAAATATTCTGCCGTAAAATACACTGAGAATTCAGCAATTTTTGTATAGATTTTGTCCGGAATATGTCATTATTTTCAGAGTATCATAAAATTAATTCATGGCCAGTGTACATTAATTACGGCTTTCTAGTTTTCAGCGTAAATACTTATTTACCGTTAATTCATACCTTTCTTGAACTTCACAATTATTATTATTTTTTGGTTATAAAAGTAGAGCATTCCCCTAAAAATGTGATAAAGCATAAGATAATGAAGATTATCACCTCTGAAGACAGATTCTGAATATCTTTACAGGTCTCACATATTCAACTACTGCATGATTATACATATATAAAAATATAATTAATCCTTCCTAATCCTTTTTCCATTTCGAAAGGTCTGAAATGAATTTTCATACGTGATTTCAGTTTAACTTAGCAATCTTAGTAATCATATAATAAATTGTATTCTGTTTACCTACTGCTCCAGTTGGTTAAGTAGAGAAAAACTTGCTTTGATGATGGACTCTGGATGAAATTAAACTACTTGAATAGGATAGAAGATTTATATAGGAATAATCATTCTTGTGTAATAAGCTCTTTAATGCATGACAGTTTGACACTTTAAAAAATTCCTAAAATAACACAGCATATCTAGAAATAGTTAACGAAACTCTATTATTCTACATAAAGTGATTTCGATGTATGGAAATATGTTGAACAATAAAACTAAACGAGTGAGTTCGTCGATGGTTCAGTGGCGAAACACGCGCCAGGCAGGAGGTTAGATTTCGATTCCCAGTAGACACAGTCTTAAGCCTCGACTACTTTACTAGCCGTCACTAACCTGGGAAAAATAGGGAACCACTGTCTCAGCCTAGCAACCTTACCTCGTAAAACAAACACCACTACTAATGAAACTGCAGAACTCGTAGTTTTGTTCCAGTCGGGACACAAAGAGTGGAAAAATGGTGGTTGAAAAGGATTTTATTCTGATCAGAAATGCACAAGAAAACAACTTCGAAAGCAACATTATTGAAAAGTCTGTCACTATCTTAAAGTGACTCGTAAGAACGTATATATCGCGGAAAATAAACTCTTTTTCCTAAAATATTTAACCTAATTTTTCCGAGAAATACAGTGTGTCGAGTTGGTTGGATACTCTTTCAGTTGTTTGTTCATATCAACCATTTTATAGATAGATTGGTGATGTTTATTTTAATTCTTTCGAGTGTTGTTGTCACTACAGATTGGTGCAAAAAGCTTGAATTTTTAGGATGATATTGGGCAAATTACTAGTTGAACTTCTAAAACTCCTCTGAAAACATTTATTTATTTACATAAAGCATTTTCAAGTATGATGCAACCTAAAGATACCTAAGTACATTCAGAATTACTTTTGTTTGATACTTGAATAAATATTTGTGAAGTATTGATGATTTGTCACGTTCAGTCATTCTTCTGCAGTAAGTGTCTATATTTCTTCATAACTGTATAAATTCTGGAAATGTGGCTCAATGGTTTAAGCGCTTAACTTTCAACCGAAGGGGCGCATGCCTGATTTGTGCCACAATTACTTCAGCCAGAGAAACTAGGTAGAATCATCAACCTTTATACAGTGGCATGGTTCATAGCCTTGGAAGTGAAAAATCTGTTTCGAACAACTAAGTTTTAAGCAAGGCTTTCAGTTAAGTTTCTTAATTTTCTTATCAACATTTTTTTAGTTAGTCTGAGTAGTTGTTTTTTGTCGTATATGGTGATTATTAGATACTTATTATTTGGAATCTTCAGTTAGTGAGCCGGTAATTTCAAAAAAGGTTTGAAATAAGCAGTATACTATCAAATGTTGGTTTGCAGGGACTTGACTGTTATAGGATTGATCACGAGCTGAAGTCAGCTGGAGAACCATTGGAAAATCTGGGAATGCTGGTTAGCTGTTTCGTCCTAGTTGGAGACTCTTCGGTAGTACGCTGGCGTAAACAAGTGTCATGGGCAACTAATTGTCCTATTGTACGACTTGGTGAACCCCGCTATTCGCGACTTCTCACTAGAACCCCATGTAACTCCATTTATAGTGCCAGTTCCTGGTGAGCATTAGATTAGTTATCAAGCATAGGTTTTCAGGAGTCCACCTATTCTTGATAATCAATCTGATGCTCACCAGCAACTAGCTATATAAAGGGAAGTTACCCGGGGTTCTAGTGAGAAGTCGCGAATAGTGGGATCCAACAAGTCCTGCAAGGAGACAATTACTTGCCCATGACACTTGTTTGCGCCTGCGTACTACCGAAGAGCCTCAAAGTAGGATGAAACAGCTTTCCAGTATTCCCAGATTCTCCAGTGGTTCTCCAACTGATGTCAGTTCGTGATCAATCCCGTAAGCAGTATGTTTCATCAAAATGCCAAATAAAAATGTTCACGAAAATACTTAGCACATCGTAATTGAACATGTTTCGTATATTGCTGGAGACTGAATTACATTAGCAGGGTGCAAAACCGACAATTTAAGTTCGTTGTTGACATTTATGGCTTTAGCAATTAAGTATTCTTCAGGTCACTGTAATTTTTGAATTTCAGATCCCTACGGAGTTTAACAAAAATCTGTCTACCCATGTATTGCAATTAGTTTCTAGTTTACCTCCTAAGAAATTACTTCTCAGTGCTACCTTTTTTTATAAATTTGTAAGTGCAACATTTCTATTTACTTTTAACCATATTTCTCAGCTTCCATATTGAAGATTATAACATATGGTTAAAAGTAACCCAGAAAGTTCATCAAAGATTGAATTAAATTCTATTTCCTTTCGCAAATTATAACTAAAAACAGTATGTACATTTGTTTCAGTTATCATAAATTTCAAATATTTTTCTCTCAGGTCAAGTAAAGATTGCATATATATATACGTTCGATTTTATAGGGAATCGATAGCAGTTTGCAAATCATTCAACACCATAAAGTACTAATCATCTGTTAGGGAATCTTCAAGAGCACATACATATGGTTGAACCCAGAGCCTTCAGTTTACGAAGCTACAATGTCGACATTCAGTCACTGGAAAATAATGCAATGGCCTGAGAATTCTAAATTCCATATGTTCGTGGTATATGCTGATCTAATAGCCGTTGTCTGTCCTTGCAAACAACGTAGTGGACCTTGTCAGTCACCGATTCGCATAAGAAGCCCATCCATTTGTCACTCTGTAATGAATAGTGGATTAATTTTCAAGTGTTAGATTGTGGGATTTTGACTTATTCAGAGTCAGATTTCACCGGAAATCACCATCAAGCAGAGAAACCTAAGGAGTACTGGTTCTCCCAGTTGATATCAGTTGTTGACAATATCTAACTTAAACTCAGTTAAATCTCTGAGAAATAATATTTAAATATGTAGTTTTATTCACAGTTTCAGCATAGAATGATATGAACGGCACTATTAATAACGAAGAAACTTAATAAGAGAGAGTTTTATAAAGGATTACCACTGATATTGGAGTGCATCCGTATTCACTTTAAAGTGAAATAAAATATAGTGATGAGCATATATACTTTCGCATGGTATCAAACTAAAGTCACAATTTTAACAGTTTTCCTTTCATTTAGATGCTAACAGCGTAATTTAGCTGTATATTCGATAAGAAAGGTCAATCTAAAGGAAATCAGATCTGATTAATTATTAAAGCCTAAATTAAGGAATAAATCAAGCGATTTATTTACAAATCGCTAATGCACCTATCAAAAATAATTACCACATTGTATTTATGATTTAGCATGTGTTAAACCTGTCTAAGAAGATATTTATCAATTCAGTAACAAAAATATTGATCATTGCAAAAGGCAAACAACTATAGATAATTGCATACATATATATCCTACGAAAAATGCTGATAAACTATTCTTAAGACTAATTTCTTGACAAACCGGAAGAAAACACAGTTCTTAGCACTCTATTGAGTTAATTATAAGTTACATTAATGCCTAAACATCACTGTGTAGATAACTTTTACGTCAATTGCTTTTTCGTCACTCAAAAATTATAATAATTACAAAAGCAGACTGAAAATACATATTTTGTTTCATTTTTCAATAAATAAAATGCAAGTAGTATTTTGCTTACCTCTTCCCATTGACTGACATATCGTACCAAACGAGTGAGTCGTAACAAGCGTAGCATACTTAATAATTTAGCCAAACGTAAAATTCTTAATGTTCGCCCTATAATTTACAAGTAGTAAAGTAGAGAAAGAAAGTATAATACTGAAAAAAGTTTCTTTTCCATAGAACAAAATCTTTGTCTTACACTTGATAAATAAATATGAAGACCCATTTATTTGGTGTGTGTGTGTGTGTGCGTAAATATGTGTTATTACAGTATTGAAACACTTATACAAAACAAGTTAGTTTCAGGAGTTTCGTTATCCACATTTTGTTGTATTTTAAGATTCTTTCAGAAAATCGTTCTAAATGATAAATAACTGAACTTGTAAATTCTGAAGTAGCTATACCATTCAGTTAGACTGCCAAGTACTTTTTTATCATAAGTACTCTCACTTCGTGCCACTCCTGCCTATTGATGTATTACTCTTTTAATGATGATGGTGGCAGAAATCTCTTTACGACTCCAGTTGACGGATGTCCGGACTAACCGTTGGGTCTCTTTGATTGCACACTAGTCAGCAACTACTGTAATGTGTCTAGTCTTTTGTTTAGTGCAGAGTGAAGTCTGTCAGTTTATCCTATCTATCTATCTAACCTGTAGCATTTCAGTTGCAGCCCGAATAGCTCAGTGGTACCTTCTCTGACTGCAGCATTGGGTGACGCAGGTTCGGATATCAAAAGGGACATGAATTCCTGCAAGGTTGCAGATACGCCTTGCTGTCAAGTGCCAACTAGCACGAGACCTGGACCCAAGGCTTCCTACTGATTGCTCTCAACCATCTAACAACAGTTGGGCCTTATGAAGCACCGGACTGATAGTTAACTGGTCGTTTTTTCCGAATCCTAGTGTGACTTTCATTTCATTTTCAGTAGCCAGACATAATATGTTGTTTTAGTTTCAGGTCTTTAGATAGAATGTACTAACAGTGCCATGTTCAACAGTGCCTCCATCAAACGCATCTAAAATCCATATCCAGACTTATAATAATTAAGTATCCAAGATAGTGATGAGTACCTTCACACATGATTTGGATGGAACTGAGTGGGCAGATTAAATGACACTTATTTAACACTGGATTCTTAAAACATAAAATTAAGTGGAGAGTTTATGATTTGCAAGGAAAAAGGTTACACGGCTAGTGACTTAAGTGACCAAAAACAGCGATAAGTAATGAAATATATTTGAGGCTGTCATGTGGCAAAATACATTTTGTTAAGTAACCTTTTTTGATTGGGATTTAGGATATCAAGGAGATCCCATAACGTGATCCGAAGAGTCTTAGTTTCCAAAGGAAGCTATGGTGAGATTTTACTTCAATGTGTATAAATTTCAGATTGTGAATTCCATTCACATATAATGAATTCGCCCAAATAGGCAGCTAAAATTTGGTAGTTTTAATCTGATTCAGCTCTATGAACTAAGCCTAAACCTGGTCGTAAATAAATACAGCAGTCGTCTGCTGTTTAGATTCTTTTGACCTAACTTCCGAGCATTACTGGTTGATGTGAGTTTTATCCAGCTGGATATGTGCTATAATATGTACTGGTGATGATATCATACCGTAGTATAAATGATGTGAAGCTCTGTTAGAAGTTAATGACTCTGAAATGCTTTCATTATGGCGCGCGAATTGTCTGACAAGTAATCGAAGAAGTTTTTTTCTTCAAATCTCCAGGCTTTAATTTATTAATATATTTATGATAGATTCCAGTAAACTTCATGCTTGGACGATATATGATTAGCATTTCACTTATTTCATTTTTCTAATTGTCATCCTGGTGTTTAAATAATTAGTCCAAAAATAATTATACACTGATTTATATTATTATCATTCTTTTATAACCATTATAATTTCAGGTAGTCTAGAGTTGATGTGAACCTGTCAAATGGAATGACATCCCTTCATATGACCAATTTGGTCTTTCTTGCTTTATCGAAATAAAAAAAATACACTTTATAAAAATTAATTTCCAGCAGCATTTTCCAATTTTTATGATCTAACATGAAAATGAATTTCATCTCCGAATCTCTTTTATTCAGTTATGTTCTGCTAAGGCTTCCTGAAGAAATTCTTTGCAGTTCCCTTGAGAAACATGTATTCATAAAGATTTTGGTAAGTACAAAATCTAGTAGGTATTTTAACCTTTCTTCCATACCTGTAAGTGTAACCTTTAGCATTCGGGCCTGGCCAAATTAAAAAAGATTTAAGACACCAGTGTTATTAAGTCGTAAACATTATTGTTTGTTGATGCTTGAAGATCGCCGTCACTTTGCATTTCAACGAGAGATAGAAAAATAAGTTATCAATAAATCTGATGTTGGCATAGGTTCTTGTATTTGTTAGCTACCACTGAGTTTGATGCAAGATAGAGGCGACTGGCAGGAAGTCCTGCACTTAGGTATCGTACTTACACTCATCACCAGGGCGTATCGGTAACCACGAAAAAAGTGATGGTCCCTTAAATATTTGAATTTCCGTCATCCATTACTGAATTCGGAAACGTCACCATTAGCGACTAACTTCAACCACTTAGGGTTAATTCAAAGTGCACAACGATTTTGATTCATATAGACTAGTGACGACAGTGCTAACAAGCTGATAGAATTCAGAAATGGCTAACTCTATGTACTAGACACTGATCAACCAACCTCTAGTATTTTTCTGTGCTTATAGTACTGCTGAAATAAGTTAAGAAATTTCCATTATGTATTAGCTAAATTAGCAGTTTATCAACACCTCAAATATCTAGTTGATTTCAATTTCTCAGACGAAATACACGCAAGATGTATGACTGTTAATTATTTTTTTGGGCTAATAAGGAGAAATTTATAAACGTGACCATGCATTTGGTATAGCACACCATATAAATTGAAAACAAAAATTGGATTTCGGTTGTGCTTAGGCAGTTTGATTAGGACAACACTTAAAGGATCATTCCATTATGGATAAGATTTTATTTCGATAAATCACACAGTGTTGTACAGTAATATTTATTTATCAAAATAAAATCTTTATCTACAATGGAGTTATACTCTACCACAGTGTCCAAGTTTTATACTTAAAGGGTCACATGGTATGTACAACTGATAAAGTGGAAGTTACTCACGTCAAACAGCCCTATTTTCCAGCCGATCCAGAATGATATAAATATCGTTTGGCCATCTCATCCCTTTGAGTATAAGCAAAACAACCACGAAACCTGTCATACTCAGCTTAGAGCACCAAATCAATTCTAACCATCTGTGCTCTGTTCATTCACTTTAGGAAACTGTTAATACATGGAATCGGGATCAATATTTGCAAATTATACGCATCGAAGTGAAAATCAACTGAAATTTAAAAGTCCCATTCGGTGTCTTGCAATATGATTAGTGTTTGGTAGAATGATACGCAGGAGCACAGCTACCTAATGGTGAGTGATTTCGCAGTTATTTGACATAGATGCTACATTTTAAGGAAGTAGATTAATTAATGCAGAGAGTTTTTCAGACCTTAAGCCACCCATTTACCCTTCTCCACCAAAGGTACATTGTTTCATGGGGACAAGAGTTCCTACAAGGTTTCAGATTTGCTTTTCTGGCGAGTGCCAACTAACACGAGACCTAGATCCAAGGCTTCCTGCCGATTACCTCCAACTATTTAATATGTCTCCTTCCGTAACTCACTTTTATTCGAGAGAAAATATAGGGGTGGTATTCATTAACGGACCATACAAACATGAATCAAACCACTGTCTCTGAATTTCTTAGCAGAATCTACAGATTTCACGGTCGATTAATTTGATGCTATTTATAAGGGAATTAAATTTATTACATTGTGGATATTCAGGAAATTCCATTATGCATAATATCGTTATCTGGAGTAAAGTTATTGTTATTATTAATCATTACTGATAGATTTTACCATCTACTGTGTATTGGATGCATGACAAAAATTAATTACAGTCATAAGGAAGGATTAGGAAACCAAATATGTACAATTGTGTTGACTATGGATATGCATAAATCACCAAGACTATGTCTAAGTAAATGACAAACAAACATCTGTCTTACCTGCACTAAAAAATTGATTATAGTGATCTTTTTTATTAAATATTAAATATATGTAATCCATTGGAATTGAACTGATAAAATCTAATACAAACCATGATTTTACATAGTGACGAGCAATTTCTTTTGGATTCAGTATAATTTCATCTGCATAATCATTTGTCACAACACCTGAAATAAGTGAAGAAAATTAAGTAAATGAATGAAAATTTGATATTTATGTACATATATTTGTTTACTTCACCTTTTCTTTGGTAAATATATTAGAGCAAGAGAGAGAAAAAAGTTCTCAGTTTGACATTTTATGAAACGCCAACACGCATTGACGAGTTAACCTTGTCACTTGAAAATGGTGACAAAAATAAATTAGGTAAAATGGAAGAGCTGAGGATGTTGAAATGTTAATAATTTTGAAAGCAATTTTAAGGACTAGAATCAGATCAGTCACCGGTAAATTACACGGTTTGAACTGATTTTGCTCTTTCAGTTGAGTCGAAATGGGGCACAATAATGACGAGCTTGCCTTTGATGCAAGCGAAACAGCTGTGGGGTATTTATAGCACCTAGATATGGCTAGTAAGCACCACTGTATGGTGTGAATACTCTCACACTACTCACGTCAATCAGTCAATCAATCAGAAAGTGTGAAGGACTATTCGGTCAATACTATCATAGTAGATCTGTGGCTTTCCCAATTTTCCAACCCATATAATCCCATAATCTGGCTATCTATTATATCTACTTATTTGTGCCTCACATATGCACAAATAAATAAACTGGGATATTATCTAGTTAACTTCCACTGTCATATAAAGTCGGACATATAACAATGACAAGAGGAAAGGCGACAGATATGGTTTATCAATAGCTTTCTTATTGGAGCTAATGTAATCTTATAGAAATCAAACGCTTTGTAGAAATGGAGGTTGACACTCAGGTATCAGTCTGCATTTAATAGATTCAAAAGTCAACTAATTGTTTCTTGAAGTTTTCAAAAAACAATCTGGCGGCAACAACTGCATATTTTCCCTAATAACTGAAGTCAGGTAAAAATATTTTAGCCGCAAACTGGAATCACCTTAATTTTTGTCATGTTCATGGCTTACAAACATGTGGAAATGGTAGATTTAGTTCTACGTTTGTTCAGTGGATTATTGTCTTTTTAATGCATTTAAAGTTCTTCAAATGCAATGTTTCATTCGATTGAGATCTTAGATGTTCTTTGATGTACAGTAAAAAGTTTTTCTAGTTCTTCCACTTCGACTGACTTCATTCTTGAAATTGTATTCTTGACTTGGGTGAAGCTCAAAGGACGGGAACATATAACCTGCTACTGTAAGGTGAAATAAGTAAGAGAAAACAGCCTCAATTTTTTAAGGCAGTTAGTAGTTTTAAGAAAATATGCTGTAACGGGTTTACAATTCTTTATCAATGTTTCATTTCACCTTGTGAGCTGGATCAAAGCACTTTTATCTAATCCAACTATTTGATTATACTTTGTAAGCACTTTGCCTTTTCAGATTTATCAAAGTATTCTATCATTACACCACATTATACTCTCAAAAAGACAGTTGTAACCAAGCTATGATTAAATCCACTTTGACTAAATAACTACTTATATGTACAAATGCATATGCTAGCTTTTTGTGATAAAAAATTAAGTATCAAATCTTTCTGCTTTATTAGCTTCTCATTTGAAAAAACATATAAAAAGAGTTTCACAATGTAGCGCTTCATCTAGTTAAATTTCACTCCAATAAAAGTTATAAACTAACCTGTTCGAAATTTTACAGCGATATCAGCAATGAATACAACATCGGATATTGAATTAAATATAATCCAATGAATGCTTAAATCATCATTGAAAAATGATATGGCTACTGGAAGTATAATTAAATTTGCAATGAGTAGCATGAGCATTAGTAAATCCCAGTAAAATCTGTAAACAGAAAAAAAAGCATAAAGAAATCCAAACATATGGGTAAGCGCCTTAAAAAGAGTGTTGTATGTATGATTTTTAGAGAAATTTCGTTAAGGAAGGCTTTATTCTTGCATATAACTATTTAAAAGACACAAGTGAACAAACAACACTTTTCCGAGTAGATAAAATTACCGAACTTTTTCACTTCTTTACGTTACGGTTGGGACATACAACTTCAAGCATTGGGACTTCAATTTTCAGTAGTGGTGGTGTTATTTCCTATTATAGGGTGAGATTACTACTGTCACACGAAACTATCTCTCTTCAGCAGGCTAAAAGCCGGCTAGATGATGTTCAGGAGTACTTCAAACCCTCCTGGTTGGCGAGCATTCTATCAGTGGACTACTAAAGCATAAGAATTACTAGGTGGCTAGATGCAAGTATGGGCGTAGATTTCATAATTATTGCCACTAACCAGCAAGATGTATCTGCACGAAACCTAGGTTCTTAGTCTTCTACTTGCAGCTTCCAATTACTTGATAATAATTACTCAGTGTTTACCTCAATAGCGAGTCTTTCAGCTATGTGATCACAGTAATCTGTCAGTAAAGATAAAATTAATTATTGATATGAATTACTATATGCCTCACTAAACTAGTAGACACTGTATTTAACTCATGTCGTGCTAGTAATACCTGTCTTCTGCATCTGACATATACTGTCCTCCACACTCCTAAGAGGACCTTATTGACTTCTCCAGAACTTCACCTATTTCAGTGTGGTTCCTAGCTGCTGTCAAAAGATACCGAGTATTTCTGCCTTACAAAACCAATCAACAGGAAATTCTGAAATAATAATTACTACAAATAACGACTGATGCTCAGCTATCGTTGTCCAGTGGCCTAGAGGAAATGCCTTTGGTCTTTGCGACGATGGGCGTTGGGTGCGAATTTTAATGGGAAAACTATCACTTAGAAGGGTTGCAAGCACACTGAAACAGTAAGTCCTGAATGAGGTGAAAAATACATCCTGGATTTCACTATTATCCATCATCAACAAATAACAGCTCTGCATTCAATCCGTGGTGGGGTCACGGGTGCCTACTTCTGAACAGTCTCAAACAAGGACGAAATGGCTGTTCAGTACTGCCTGGTTTCTAGTGAATATCTGGTCAGCTCGTGATCAACCCGGAAATCACTTGAGGATTGATTTCCATGCACCCTAAAGTTCTGCGTTGCCAGCTCCTGACCTTACGTGGGTTAATCACTGCGAAGTAAGCGATTTCATGTGTCTGGTGCTCACTACTCACTGAATTCTTCTAGTCACCGTTACAATATGATTACTAAGCTATGTGACTCGCTAGAGAGGTGTACCTTGAATAGGTGCTAGGTGATTGGGCGAGTTAGCAGTGTAACGTCTTTCATTACAGCACTGGAAATACTCAAGGGACCATCACTCCCTTCAATTCTGTAGATACATCTTACTGACGAGTGTCGATAAGTATGCGACTAAGATCCAGGGCTTTTCGCCAAATGACGTCAACAGTCAAACGTCAGAACCTAGCCTAATAAATTTTCACTGGCTCAGAAATAATTTTCACAAAAGTTTAAATGTTGACATTTGAATAACTGGTGATTTCTTTTTGTTTTTACTTTGGTAGTCATAAATATGAATTTCAAATGGTTTTAGAAAGTATATCATTTGCTTAAACATAACGAAGTGATTTAGTAGACAAATGGTTTGCGACCTGCTTAAATACTTCTACTGTAAAAATGTTTTGCGTCATGAATTTATCAACTTTCCGAATTTTTGTAATGCAGTCATTTTTACAAATCATATTACATTTCCTCCACTTGTTTTAACATATCATCCATATACTTAGATTCAGTTGATTATCCAAGAATTATATTTACTGACAATATTATTATCCTATGTGAAGGTTTAACAGTACTACTACATTAAAAAATGTTGTTCAGATATGGATTGTTTTTTAATTTTAAAGATGGCGTGGGAATAATTTCCCCGTTCATTCCCTTTACTATATACTGTGTCATCTCTCGTAGTTTCTATATCTATATACACTAAACGTGAGTCTTAAAATAAAGATATGAAGCTCAGAATTAGGTTCTTTACATTCAGCTAACTTTGTTAATGAAAGTCTCATCGTCAGGTCCTAATGAAATATTCAGCATTATTTTCATAAAGAAGTTAGGACTGAAGACGTCTACCACTTCTGGTAATGAAAAGTCTGCGATTAAACACAACAGCTGGAGAAACATATAAACAGTTTTCAAATTGTACGTGTATTGATAACTTCAAGCAGACAGACAGATAATATGCACCGAAATATTTTGGAGTAAATAGTCGCCAAAGAATAAAAACAAGGAATTAGTAGCATAATAAAGAATATTAGACAAATATTAGCTGAATAAACATTACAATACGTGCTAACAAATTCCTGGAAAATGGTTTCTTTGTTTAAACCACTCTCGAAGTACTTTCCATTTAGAAAGATATTTTTTTATTAAAAATAGTGTCTGCTTAACAAAGTTATTTTGAATATTTCATAACATTTCATGCTAAATTTTAATCTAATATATCTCTTAAATGAACCTTATAACTAATTTAATTATGGAAACGAGCACATTTAACGATGAAAAACTTGTTTCCTCTGGTCATAAAATAAATTTTATGTTAAAGTCATGAATGTTTACGATGAGTCTGATGATTCAGGTATTAAATGAAACGAATCGTAATGTAATATCCGCCTTACACAGAAGTGTATTTATTGTTGGTACTATAATGTATTGGTTTGAAATAAATGTCTGATTTAATCAAACTTTCAGGTCGTTTGAAATTCACTGATGAGTTTATATATCATACTGACGAAACACTCATAAGGATGTTCCCTTGAATTAGAAAGATTATTTTATAGTGAGAGTATAATTCGTTTCTTTAGATTTCTCAGGATGACTATCAGTTCTTCACTGTAATTAATTTGAAGAGTGTAGATGGTGAAGTTTCCAGAGTTCATGGATTCAATGACCGATTCAGATTTTGGAATATACAACAGTTATGTCAGTGCATGTTAAGTGAGAATGCATTCTCAACTGTCATGATGATAAATTTAGGAGTCTGTAGGACTAAAAATTGCGTGAATGATATTAAATGTATGTAAACTGCCTAAATAAGTGATAGTAACCAATACTTTGACATAGTTTTAAACCATTAAGCTTCCCCACTTTACTTTCCACTACAGAGTAATTTACTGAACCATATAACATCTGTTAGCTTAATTTGATCCCACATATATACATATAGTTACTTGTAATTATATCCTCTTAATATAACTGTACAACTACTTTATTTATGACTGAACTGAGGACAAAAATTTATTTTGTTGAGCAACTGCTCGTTCCTAAATCATTCATGCATTCGCGTCTTTGGAAGAAATCACAGTATCTTTGATGTTTCAAAAGAATATACATTGCTAATTATTCAGGTATTGGTTTTTGTAGGGATGTTTTCTGTTTTGACTGGTTGGAGGATTTCATCATGAGCTGACATCAATTAGAGAACCAATGGAAAACCTGAGAGTACTGGACAGCTGTTTCGTCCTATTTTGGGGCTCTTCACCAGTACGCACCCCCGGGGTTCGAAGTTGGAATGAAGTATACAATAAGGTTAGAGTTCATGGGTCATCAGATCGGGTCGCAGTGGCCTATTGGTCTACGAGCTCGCCTTGTAACCAGAAGGTCCTGAGTTTGAACCCCGGTAGGTGTGTCCTGATGAAGAGTCCCAAACTAGAACGAAGCAACTGTCCAGTACTCCTAGGGTTTTCAATGGTTCTCTTATCAATTTCAGCTCATGGTGAAACCCTGTAACCAATCAATACACTGCTAATCTTCCGTAAATTTTCACTAAATCTGAAATTATCGGTAAAGTACATAATTCACATTTTTACACAATGAAAAGTGATACAATAAATTTATTTTATTCTCACTGTTCTAAAGCTGATATGTCTAATGAATACAACCTATCAGAGAATTATGAATATATACCTAATTCATTATTAAATTCCAGTTTAATCAATAATGAAAACACCAACCATGAAAACAGTCATTATGCCGGCAGGCGGAAACAAGAAAAAAAGCCGAACTGTCTGTAGAGAGTATCCACTGTCTGAATAATAGTCAAAACAGTTGAAAACAAAGCTGAATATGCAGGTTTAAATTCATCCTGACAAGTACTAAATTCACTGTTTAATATAAAGAGTTAGAAATCAATGAGAGTTTGTTCTTCTTCCGTTCTTAGAAAAGCCTCGTCGACCCCCCAAACACATGATTGTCAGAAAGCGACGGATGGCGGTTTCAGAACACGTTGTTGAAAAACATGCTTTGGCTAAATCACAATAATACAAGTAAATAGAAATTAAAATCCTTTGGTATTTGTAGTAATGTAAATCACTGAGAACATTCTCTGGTAGTGTTTTTGTAAGATTATGCTGACGTTATCACCCTGAACAATAACTGTTGATTGGATAATTTCATCGGAGCTTACGTCATCTTGAAAGTCTACAAAATAGCTCTAATACTGGCATATGTAGGTGTTGCATTTTATCAGCGAAAAAATGCGTGGAGACGTAGTGTTGATGAAGCAAACAGAAAAAAGAAAAAAATCGATTCCACTGACAAAAAGTGAGTTAACCAAATATCAAGTTTTACACTACCCCCGCAAAATTTCAAATAATTTTGTTTCTGATTACTCTTCACGCATTTTTCAGCTTTATCTTGTGATGCGTGATAAACTTTGTCATGTTTATTTCCTCTACACACACAAACACAATAAAAAAGCAACATTCTAAAGTTTCAGAGGAAACCCATTTTTTCAAATTTTCGTTATCAAAACGAAAAACAATTTAAGTTTGGAATGTTCATGTTTCAGATTGGAATAAATACTTGAATTCTGTAGTTGAAACTGTGAATAATTATATTTTTAAATTTGTGGCATACACAAAA